GCCGTATCCCGACATCCCGACTTTCGCCCACCATCCCGACTTCCCACCAATCCCGACATCCCGGCTTTCGCCCGCCATCCGGACTTCCCACCTATCCCGACATCCCGACTTTCGCCCGCCATCCCGACTTTCGCCCACCCTTTCCTCCTGCCCTATCCCGACTTCCCCAACTTCTCCTCACCCTATCCCGACTTCCTACCTACCCGACTTTACCAACCCCTATCCCGACTTCCCCCCTTCCCGAATCCGTACTCCATAATATCCCGACTTCCCACCTATCTGAACTCTCCCCCGGCTACCCCCCCCCCCCCCCCCTTTCCCCCCCCCCCCCCCCCCCTTCCCCCCCCCCCCATTTCCCCACCCCCCCCCCCGCCTTTCCCCCCCCCCCCTCAATGAATAGCCAGGGCCCCAAAGATTTGGAAGCCGCACATAAAAAAAAATAGGAATAAAAAAAAAAAAAAAAAAAAAAACTTTTTTTTTTTTTTTTTTTCGTTGACTGATTGATTGATTGATTGATTGGCCCCACAAGCGCACACGCACACACACATACACACATAGGTAGGATTGTAAATTTCGATGTTCTAGTGGAAGATTCATTCGATTTTGCTTTTTATTTTTTTATTTTTTTTGAATGATTGATTGATTGATTGATTGATTGATTGGTGTGGGCGGGGTTGGCCCCCCGTCCCCATTAGGCCCACACACACACACACAATATTGCTAGGTTACCAACCGTCTGGGGGGCGGACGTCTCCCCCGGACGTCCGAGGGCTGAGTCGTCTGGATGCCCGGACGACGGCTTTTTTAGGGGGAAAAAAGGTCAAAAAAAAAAAAAAAAAAAAGGTCGTCTTGCGCTGGTCTTAGGGACCCCCCATACCAAATTTCACATGAAAGAGAGTGTTTTTGTGAAATAATTGGTACTGGGGGTTGTGGGGCTGCGGGCAAGGAGAGTACTACCAATCAATCAATCAATCAATCCCGTTGAACGTATACATTCGACAGGATCTTAAACTGTCAAGATCCCGTCGAACGATTGATTGATTGATTGATTGATTGAGGAGCAGATCCCGATGGAGGAAGAGGAGGGGGAGGGCGAGGAGGAGGAGGAGGAGGACGAGGAGGAGGTCCCGATGCAGGAGGAGGAGGAGGAGGAGGAGGAGGGCGTCCCGATGGAGGAGGAGGAGGAGGAGGAGGTGGTGGTGGCGAAGGAGGAGGAGGAGGAGGAGGGGGAGGAGGAGGAGGAGGAGGAGGAGGAGGAGGAGGAGGAGGAGGAGGACGAGGAGGAGGAGGAGGAGGAGGAGGTCCCGATGGAGGAGGTCCCGATGGAGGAGGAGGAGGAGGAGGTCCCGATGGAGGAGGACGAGGAGGAGGTCCCGATGGAGGAGGAGGAGGAGGAGGAGGAGGAGGGGGAGGCCGTCCCGATGGAGGGGGAGGAGGAAGAGGAGGAGGAGGACGAGGAGGTCCCGATGGAGGAGGACGAGGAGGAGGTCCCGACCTGTCTCTTATACACATCTAGATGTGTATAAGAGACAGGTATGTGGGCAGGCGTGGGTGTGTGTGAGTGTGCGGGCGGGCGGGGGTTTCTTTTTCGTTTCCGCTGCACAAAAAAGACAAAAAGAAACGAAAAAAGAAAAAGAAAACGACGCGGAAAAGCAAGCAAAGAAGAAAACAAAAAGAAATGAAAAAAGGAAAAGAAAACGATGCGGAAAAGCGAGCAAAAAAGAAAAGAAAAGAGAAGAAAAGAAAACGATGCGGAAAAGCGAGC